GATTATGTTTAGATTCTCTTCTGCAGCCTCGATGTATCTGTAGGTTGATTCTAAACAGTGAGAACCAGTAATTGACTACAGAGCCATTTATTGGGCTGTGGTATACTTTCTTATCTCTGCTTCCAGGGCTGTGATCCCTCTGGCACTCAGAGGAAAACTTCTCTGGTATTTATTATTTGTGTGTGTGTGTAGACTTTTAAAAATTGATTTGGGCATTGGGTCGCCCCCCCCCAGAATTTCTATTAATTTTTTTTCTTGCATTGTGAATCCGTATCATAGCTCCAGTTTTTCTAAGCTTTTAATCATCCTTTCTCTTCAGTTAGAATACCCTTTCCTAGTAATTATCCTCAAAATAGTTGTGTTCCTACCTAAAAACAAAAGCATGACAGACAAACTTCTGAGTTATTGTTTGTTTGAAAATATATTTAAATTGCACTGGATTGAGGTTTGGGTTACCAGTTATAGGATTCAAACCACTCCTCATAAGAATCTTGCTCCACTGTCTTCTGAAACCTCATGCTACTGATGAGAAGTCAGACACCCTTCTCATTCTCTTTGTGGGTGACTTTTTGTTTTACCACCTTCAGTTTGTCTTTGATGTTCTGGAATTTTATGATTATACGTCTTTTTTCATTTCTCTCACTTGACATTTATTAAGCTCCTTCATTTGGAAACGTAGATGTTCTGTATCTTTTGGCTCTGATAATTTTTTTCATATTTATTTATTTTAAAAAAGACTTCTCCTTTTTCTTTGTTTTTTCTTTCCACAAATTATAAGAGTGTTATATTAGGCCTCTTGAATTAATTTTCTGTATCCTTACCTTTTTTTATTTCTGTTTCCTAGTCTTTAAATTCTGGGTATTAGTTCTTTTATTTCTAACAGAATTAGTTTAACTTCTTCAATCTTGGTAGGCCGAATAATTCTCACAGGAATTTATGGGTAAAGGAAAAAATTAGGCTGTGAAACTTCACTAGGGAGATTTAAATTTATGTCTCTTACGACCTCATTTGTTATTTTTATTTTCTAAGTCTTTTCTTTTTATATTAGTATGAGCTGGAGAAGAAAATGTATTTTAAAATATATATTAATTGAAGAGTAAGTGTGATTATGTTAATTATATTCTTTATTACCATGATAATTATATTTATTTATAGAATACTAAGTTGTACATCGTACTTACATGCGTAACTTCTCACTTACTTTGAAAATACATAGAACTGAAGAGAAGATGGATTTTAGAAGACACTGAGTTTGTAACACCTTCCCTTCCATCAGATAGTGTAGCCATCAGTCTTAGCAGACCTTCACAGAGATATTCAGCAGATTTAGGAAGTCTTGAGGAACTTGTTTTCAACATTTATACAGTTTATATTCTTTCATGTACTTTTGGTTAAACCTTTGTGAATTTGGCCTGTGGCTGTAACTCATCCAGGAAACAATTATATAGCAGATGATTTTGCAAAAGTAAAAATTTTGAATAATTTCCTATAATCTGTGTAATAAAATATTTGGAAATTGTTCTGAGCATTATTATGAAATATGTCTAGAAAATAGTGTTTTTGCTACTTTGTCTGATAATTTTATTTTATTGATTTACTGAGGTTTGTTACGTAGTTGGGAGTTAAGCCAGTAACCTTAGCTGAATTATTTATAATTCTCATCTTGTTTGTTGATCCGTCCTGCAGTCATTATAATGAGGACTTTGATTTGTGATTTAAAGTTACTATTGCTAATCTCTCGCGTGTTTGACAGTTTTTTTTATATTTACGGATGCTTAAAAGATAAAGCATTTTGAAGCTGTGAATGTTAGGATTGGCTGAGTGACTCTGGATGAATTACTTCATCCTGGATAAATAAGGTAACGCATGAAAGGGCCACATCGCCTGAAGCGTATACCCAGGTTCTAGGCAGGAACCCCGTGACCCTGCTCTCCATACACTCTTGTTTCACCTGCTGATCCTGAGCTCTGAATTTAAAGTTACGGTGACCAACATCTGCTGACTGCTCATTAAAAAGTCTTATTTCTTCTTAAGCATGTACATTGCTCTGTTTATAGAGAGTAAGCTCACAGTGTTGGGTAGGTTTTTTAGAGCACGAGAATAACAAATTCATAACAATAGAACGTATTTAATACTGAAGTAAGAGTTTCAACTTTAGTAAAACTCTTAGAAGAGTTAATGGAAATAATCTCTTTAATGTAATTATACCTTTAACTATTACTTCATCATCTTGGATAGTAAGTTTTAATATCCATCTTTCCTTAGTGATCAGGAAGCATGCGAGAAGGGACATATATGCAAATGTCACAGTTAATGATAAACTTTGGGTAGGTTTTAACCGTATCTTTCTTGTTGGTACATAGATTTCTGTTTTCTGTCTTTTATTTTTCTCTTATGGTCTGTTTTAAAAATCTTAATTATATTTGATTATCATTTTCCAAAAAAACAGAAATAGTTATAAACACTATGATGTGATTATTTGTATACTTTAAACCGATCCTTTTTGTACTTTTAACTGAATCCTTGATTTTTGCCATTGGATATTCCAGAAAAAACAGTGAGTGGCAGTGCAAAAAGTTATTTGAAAAAAAGTACAAAGAGATTGAAATTGTGCAATGGTAGATTCTTCTCAGCCTCCAGCTGGAAAGTGTGTGTACGTGTGTATTTTTGCAAGCACACGCGTGGTTTCCTTGAAAGAAGGGTTAATTCAGGGGGTAAGGTATAGCGTGAACTGGGTCTTGGGTTCAATCCCCAGGACCTCCATTAAAAAAATAAATAAACCTAATTACTGCCCCCCCACAACAAAATAAATAAATAAATAAAAGACATTATAAAAAAAAGAAAGGGTTAATTCAGTGGAAAGTAAAGTGGCAGATTTTACAGTGGGTACCAATGCGCCTTTTCATTTTATCTAGCTTACTGATAGGTACAAAAAGTGATTTTGAACGTAATTACTGAACCATGTTATTTCAGATATTTTAATACATATCATTTTATTGTTCTGTGTGGATTGCAAAATACTGCTTTTACTGTATTTGTACCTCAAGTATATAACTACTTGGTTCAAACCGTGCCATTTCATGAGACATGTTAAACTAAGTGGGCCCTCAGCAGACAGGCTAGATCAGCCTCTGCTGGAGTGGGTTTTCAGGCAGAGAAGATTCAGGGCTCCGTGAGGCAGCGGCCCAGGGCCAGCCTGGCTCGCGTGGGGCAGGAAAGAGACAGTGGAGGGAGCGTGCTGGCAGCTGGGCCCATTCGTCTGGTTGAGGAGATGTGGGGGGAAAGTGGGTCCTTCAAAGAAATTAAGTGATGAATCACTGTCTCTCTCTCCTCTTTTCCTCCAGGGCCCCTGTGTCCATGACGAGGACTCTGGCCTGTCGCTCACAGGAAAACCTGCCCTTCAGGCTCTGTTATATCACTGCCATTTTTATGAACATTTGAGTCAGATGGTTAAACATTGTTACCTGGGACGGTATACATTTGATTTGAATTGTTCTGCTCTTCATGGAACTTCAGAAGGCAATGATTTAAATGGTACAGATATTTATATTTATATTTTTAATAAAATGTAATAGTTCTTAACCTGTTAAAAACCTGTGTGTTTGTTACAAAATATTTGCAAAACAATGAAAACAGAGAACATTCATCTCTAGTCCCAAAACCCAGAGATGATCTTTGTTGCCTTGGGGTGTATTTTCTGCTGGTCTTCTTCCTCTGTATAGCTTTTGTTTGTTGTACGTAATTGTGCTCCTGTCTTATGTACATTTTTGTATTGCCTTCTTTCACTAAACGTTGCCTAAGCATTTTTCTGTGTTATAAATTCTTCATGGAAACTATTTTTGACATCTTATTAATGTTTCATAAGTTATTTCATGCCCTTCAGTAAAGTTTTATAGTTTTTCTATTAAATGTCTGAAACTTTTTGGAAAGTTCTTCCTAGGCAATCAAGAATGGGATGTTTTCCTACTAAATTTTCTAATTTGTTTGGCTGATATATTGAAAAACTTTGTTTTTGTCATGTTACTCAGTTTGTCAAAATATCTGCTGAAACCTTTTAATTTCTACTTATTTGTAGATTCTCTTGGAGTTCCTAAGAATGAGATCTTAACACATATAAATACTAACTTCATCTCATGATAATAAATAATAATTTAATAATAAGAATAAAAATAATTGTAAAGTAAAACTAAATGTAAAATAATTTTTTAATATTTAAAAGGGTTTTAAATAATATTAAAAGATCTTGACATAATTGCACACAGAAAAGGTACAAGAATAGTACAGAGACTTCCCAAATGTTTACATTTTACTGTATTTGTTCCCCTATGCCATATGTATGTATGTGCATGTAAACAAAATTTATTTATAATGCACGTGTGTGTACTTTTTTGAGCCATTTAAGAGTAAATTGCAAACATGAACTTTCTTTACCCCTGAAATACTTAAGTATATATTTCTAATTCACTTTTCTGCTCATTTCTTTGAGAAATTAAGAGGAGAATGACATTTGATGACATTCTTGAATATTATAAATAAATATCCCTATGAGGAAGGTGACCCATTTAATTGTTTGGATTTCTCTATATTGGTGTTACTGGAAGCACGGCCCTTGAATCAACAGCACTGACATCTGCTTCCAACTTGGTAGAAATGCAAATTTACTCCCCGACCTTGATTTGGGGAATGAAATCTCTGAGACTAGGACCCAGGAAACCAGTTTATCAAGCTCTTTATGGTTCTTCTGCGCACTGAAGCTGGGGAGCTGGTGCTCCTGACGAATTGTGTTAGAGTGAGCTTAAAGCACAGTTAACTGATTGTCATTCACTTTCTTGTGAAATATGCTTTATGTATAAGTTAATTAAGAATAATAACAACTAGGCTAACTTCTTTCCTTAGTTCTTGGTTGGTTTCACATAAGGTTCATGTTGGTTGTTACAGTACCCGGAAGACTACTCACGTTGACAGTTTTCCTGTCCTCACAGGTTTAGACGACTCATTCAAGTTCTGGAGGGCACCATCTCGGATGTCCAATCAAGATCAAGATCCAAGTTCTCTCTCCACCTCGGAAACAACGGTACTCAACGAAGAACGCTTGAGGGCTGCATGTTGACTTTCTGAAAAAATGTGAATTTATATAATAGAGAGATAAGAATGGAAATGACGTATAAGGTTATGACTATAGCAGCTGTGATTTATTTGAAGTGTTGTCTTTTCAGAAGTAGGGTTTGCCTTGCTCAAGTAGGTACACTGAATAGCCTTTTAGATGAGTTTTCAACCTCTTTTCTACCTTTTTTTTCAAATATGTGTTTTTTTAAATGTTTTCTTTTTTAAACTAGTTAAGGGTTTTTTTTTGGAAGAGGGTTGGAGGTAATTAGCTTTTGTTTATTTTTTTGATGGAAGTACTAGGGATTGAACCCAGGGCCTTTTATATGCTAAGCATATCCTCTACCGCTTGAGCTATACCCTCCCCGCTATCTTTTTTGATAGAACCAGGGTTCAAAAAATTTTAAATGTTTATCAGTAGTAGTAGAAGAAGAGAACAGATCCCATGTGATTGGTAATCCTTGATTACCCTGAAATTAATTTTGCTTAAGAACAAGACAATTTGAAGACTGTTGACCCATTCAAATGATTCCAGTGTGGTACTGATGATTTTAAACACACTTCCAAATACTTGCATCAGACAGAAGCTTGTCTTGATTATCTGTACTACCTGAAATTTATATACCTGCCTGCCTTTCTTCCTTTTTATTTTTATATATAAGTTGCTTTGTTCTAAAAAGTTTGAGACACTAAGTATTTCTAAATAATGACATGCTAAGTTTCATTTGTTTTGCAAGCATACAAAATCATTTATTCTCAACTGGAAAATATTGAGTTCAATTGGAAAATGTTTTTGGAAAAATTACTGTGTTGTAGAACCTATTAGAAAGGCAAAGGCGTGACACCACTTCTTCCAGGAACAAAAATAATATGAGAATAATAAAAAATTATACAGGCGTTAATAAAATTCACCTCCTACAGTTTCCCAAGAGACTGGTACAGTTTTAAAAGTCTTCTTTTTTTTTCCCCCGAGACTCAAAAGAAGAGTTTATGTTTAGTGCTAAATTGAACCTTTATTTAGAAGAATAGAATACCCCAGTTCCACTAGATGTCATGCTTTCCTTCTCACAGTAGAAGTAATGTGTATCTTTATCTCAATAAGAGAAATAATGATATGATTAAATGCCAGAGGGAACTGTTTTAATTGGTTATTTAGTTCACAGAAGGACAGCATTATTCTTACTCTTCTTAGGTTTCTCTGTTTAAAGGTTTATAGACGGATTTTGAGATCTTGGTACATTCTTTGCTTATATAAGCAGTAAATAGTAATTGCTCTAAATAACTTTGAGTTATCTTAGCTATTTTATAGATATCAAGTTGTGTTTATACAAGAAGACTTAAGTACAGAAAACAAAACCAAATCAAACTTTTGCATTTCTCTATTTGATAAAAATATGTAAATCTTACAGATTAGGTTTACTAGATTTTCTGAGAAAAACTTTGGAAAGATGTCACTTACTATAATCATTATTAAAATAGAAGTACCTCTATTAAAGCAAAAGTCTTTAACTTGTTTATGTAAGGATATCACATAGACTTTTAGAGCAATGTACCAACAAAATCTGTTTTTTTAAAGAATTCTTATACATAGTCCAATGTAAGATTTACTTCTTGTAGTTTCTCAAAAGACCAGTGTTATCTGTTAGAATTTTTACAATCAACGCTTTTCTTTGTTTTTTGGTTTCCAAATAGAGTTTGGGTATTAGTGACTTTTATTCACAAAAAAGTAGTCTGATTACCCCAGTTCTGCTAATTGTTCATGTTTTCCTAACCATGTGAGAGATCTGTACATCTTTGTTGCAAAAGGAGACAAATCTGGAGAGTTTATTCATTGTACTCGTATTGCATTCAACCTAAGCTGCCAGAACCCAGACCAACCAATACTTCCTCAGGTTTAAGAAAATGCTGAAGTTACAAATTGAGATATCAGTTGAGTGGATGTAAATCTTTTGAGCTTATCTTGTTATTTATATCACTATTTTGTGTCTCTCCCAGAATTGAGAAAAGATGCAATTTGTGGATTGTTTTGTTTTTCCACGTTGTCTTTCTAAGGAAAGCACCGTCCTTTGATTTGGGTCATGTCATCCAGTGTGCTGTTACTGGGTCATTATCCATTCTGTGCTGTTGACGCCACATTAGGGACTTCCATCGTGTTATCTAACGAATATTAGTTCAACGTTGTTTGGCAAGCTTTGGAAGAATCAGGACTTGTATGTTTTGTAAATTACAAATAGAGTAGAGTGTCATTGTCACCTTGGGGCAGTTGCCCTCATAAGCAAATGCCGTTTCAGAGATGGCCTCCCCGCAACTCAGTGTCTTCTTCCCCAGGATAGGAGGGGTCAGACAGTAGTTGTTTTTCCCCCTGAAATCACATTTTTACCCCTCAGGAATATCTGAACTAGGGGGTGTTTCTGCCTAGGACCTACCAGTGTGCAGCCACAGCTTTATGACCAAAACTTGGTCTTTTCTGTTGGTCTTGAGCAGAATTATCTTTGTATTTTTAAAAATCTGTTTTATCAGATGTCAAAATAAAGGAAATGTGAATCCTTTCCTTTTGAGCTCAGACGAGGACACACTCCAGTTTGTTGTGTGTGGCCACCACGTTGCGTGCTACAGATGGGTTCGCCTGTTAAATCTGCACTGCTTAAGGGTGGTGCCCTTTCATAAATGAAGAAACAGAGTCTTAGAGAATTTACGTATTTGTCCTAAAGTCACAAAGCTATTGGAGGGTGGACTAGGACAAGGCCGAGGGAGCTTGTTCCTTTAAATCGTGTCCAGTAGGGCACAGGGGCCTGGTGTTAAATCCCTGTGTGTGAGTAAGTGATTCTAGTTAGGCAAGAATCTTACCTCATCTTCTGCTTTTTCCTACCACAATGTTTTTCTGAGCTTTCTTTTTTTTATTTTACATGCAGTCCTTAGAATCTTGAATCTACGTAGTTGAAGTGATTTAAACTTCCTATTGTAATTTGTTTAGAGTTAATGATTACAAATTGTGAAGCACAACAAAATTTTTCTGCTCTTGGGCCTATAGAGAAAGTTGTCATTTGTAAAAATGAACACTTAGAACCCCCAGTTTAAAAATGTAAATAGATGTGTACTCTTTTTCATGCCACAAATCCTCATTGTCTTTATTCCCTTTTAATTTTTTAAAAATCAAATAACCTATTTAGATTATGAATACTGGTTTTGATGAAAGAGAATGGAAGAAATTGTAGTCATTTTGACAAATAAAATTCCTGAGTCCTAAATTAACTCTCAAAAATTTTTGAAGTACCCAGTGAGCTCTTGTTTCTGTAAGGCAGAATACAAAGAATATTTTTGAACATTGATGCATTTTGTTTATATGACAGAAATTGTTTATTTTTAGACTCAAATTCCCCTTTAATATGGTAAATGACTGCTATTTCTGCTTTTTCAAAGGAATTCTCTTAAAATTATAACTACTTTATTTTACAATGAAGCATGATTTAGAGAGCTTCTTCCGTTATCAAATCTGTTTACAAATATGTTGAAGGAAAGACTATCTTTTAGTTCTCGGAAGCAAAATGTGCGTCTGTTTTAGGATAGTGGTTTTAAGTAACATCAGCCTGCCTGCACTAACAGGCCTTTACTGCCTTCTGTGCTAGTAAGGTGAGAACGCTAGGGGTACATATGCTTCAAAGAAAACTCAGTTTTGTTTGTCTTGTCAAGGGAATGCAAATTGAAAATCTCAGGATGTGCCAGGTGGCAAATGTGAAAGTGAGGAAAATGTCTATGTTGTGATTTTGCACTGAAGCCATTTTAATGAACAGGGCGAGTGACAGATAAAAGAATTAGACTCCCTGCTGCAAGAGGACAGCCTGACCTCCCGCTCGATGCCTCCTCCTGACAGCAGGCAGAGAGCAAGTGAGAATGTCGTGCTCTCTGCTCTCGGCGAAGGGAAGGGATGACGCATCGTGCTTAGTGTGCCCTAAGCCAAGCCACCCTGAATCCTCCGCCCGGGAGGTGGCCCGAAGCCCCAGTCAAGCTGAGGGCCGTCCGTGGAAACAAGAGGAGGGGGAGAAGGAAGCACGTCCCTCAGAGGAGACCAGCCGGCGTTCCGGAGCTTTGTCTGGGGATGTCCTCTGACTGGAGGAGCTCTGTGCTGTTGTGAATATGGTCCTGGACTGAGGATCCTCATTCGAGTCTGCACTAGGCCCACCCCTTGTCCCTGAAAGAGGACCTGGACCAGATCAGGCCTTCTCTGCCTGTAGCATTGTTGGCTCCTATGAACCTCACCTTCTGGGAGCTAATACTTGCATTTCCAGGTTGATTCATTGTTACTTGGATTTCAAGATGACAAGTAATACATGTATGTTTTGATGTGTATTATGAAATATAATCAAATAAATATCCATGGGAGATTATTTTCAAGCAATCAAGGACTTGAGCATAGTACTAGAACAGGTCAGCCTAAGACTGCATGAGTGTTTGTCAATTGAAAGGATGGTTAGTGAAAAGATAAAAGGTTCCAGCATCCTTGCTCTCTTAAATTTTCTAATATAACCAGGAGAGCTCATGGCAGGAGTCAGGTTCATTCGTCAGCTCCTGCATGGGCTGTGTGGTCAGTCTCAGCGTCTGACTGTTACTTCACAGACTAAACGTTACCTGGATGTCTGTTGATAGGAACTTATTTTTTAAACACACCTCTTATAGCCAATTGTAAGCAACTATAATTTAAATAATTTCTTTAGGTTTTTGCCCCCTGTTATCTGGATCTAATGTTATATAAAATAAGATATTTAATACTTGCTTACTTATGAGTGATTTATTTGGACCGAAATTTATCCAGCCTTCATTGTTAGGTGACTTTATGTGCTTAGCTTACATTTTTTGGCTACGGCTTTCTATCATTTATTTCTTACTACTGTAATGTCATACTTGAGGTGGTGAGAGGTGATTGAGGTCTTAACTTGAAAGGGGGATTTTTAAAACTGTATATTAATTTCCTGTGCCATTATCTTCAAATTTATATTCTCTTTGCTATCAGAAACTGCAAATGAAAATAATCTTTTGAGTTTTGCTTTCATCCTGTCATATCAAATCTAAAGCAACCTACTTTAAGTGTTGGGATAAATATGCAATCAGTGTGCAAATATCGTGAGCTGTACAGGCTCTGGGTTTGCTGGAGGGTTGACGCGTGAGTTCTGTTGACAGCTCGCGCTACCTGCACGCGCTGACCTGGAGATTGTCCAGGCGTGGGAAATTCATGCTGTCTCAGAGAAGAGAAATCGATGGAAAGATAGTGTTTTCCACATAGGAGGTGCTTGACGTCAGTTTGGGCTTTTTCAGTTTTAGGAGGCCACACAGTCTGCCCATCTGTAAACCTGTGCGTCAAATTGTGTTCACTCTCTATAGAATTTCTGTTAAGTTTAATGCTTCAAAAAACGTATTCTAAAGAACAGTGTCAGCATATTGCCCAATTCTTAAACCATTTCTTTTGTGATGGGAGAAGCAGAGAAGAATTGTCTGATGCTTCTGCTAATTCTTCTATTTAAATTTGCGTGTGCCATTTGAAACTCTAAAAAACCCTTTTATTATGAATAGAAATGCAAACTATCTGAAGGGCACAGTGAATTATAGGCTAGTTTTTCTTCAGCCTTTCAGCATTTGAGCAGTAAATGGGAATTGGCTTTATCAGGACCATAAAACCCTAGATGGGCTTCAAATCAAAACTCTTCTCCTTTGAATTACTGATTTACGAAACTGTAACAAGTCCTATAAGAAGAAGTAGAAAGTGCCATTCAAAACCTTACAGCTCTCAGGATATGCGTGGTTAGTGGTGCTAACTAGGGCGCTTCTCTAATAAACCCTTCTGTTTAAGGATATCTTGTGTACGTATGGCTTGTGTTTCATTTTCCAACTAGTAACGTTAACAAGAGGCTGTTACGAGGAAGATGATTTTCTTTGCTCTCCGCAGGTGGCAGCTTCGTTGGGGAGTGCTGAATTTCAGCCACACATGCTCTGCGCAGCGCCTCTCCCTGAAGCCTCGCACGACCAGTTTGTGGCTCAAGGTATCCTTGTTTTAGGAAAACATCCTCCTTTCAAAAAAGAAAAATGGCAAGTTGGTCCAGTTAGATTCTGGACCATCTGTTTGTTCCTTAATGTCTGAATACTTGGGACACAGCACTTTGCCCTGCCCTTCTTGTCTTGGCTGGTGTACTGTCCCCCAGGGCAGACACACACACCCTAGTGTACATGCACGCGCTCACACACACACACACACACACACAAACTGCAGGAGTGGGATGTCTGAGGTGCCGAGCGGTTAGGGAATTCCCCAACTGCCTCTCTTTGGCACTTTCAGGAACTTTCCTCTGATTATCAGAATTTGTGAATGTTGTACGTAACCACAAAGTAAACAAAATAGTGATAACTTTCATGCTTATTTGCAGTAGCAGGTCAGCATGAAACTGCATCTCCGCGGCCTCCTCAGGATTCCTCCCTTTCTGCTCCTCTGCCCAGACAGTGTGTTTTTGTCACTCCGCCTCTCCTCTCGGCCGTATGCAGTCTCCTGGACAGCCTCCTGGCGACCACTCCAGGTGACACTGCGGACGCTTTGCGGCAGGCTCGCCTCATGGAGCTTCTCTGTGGGTAAGAGACCACGCTCCTGGAAAGGAAGCAGACCCAGGCCTTCACTTTTGCCACAGTTGTCTTGAGAGTCTATTTTAGATCTGTTAAAACACTTGGATTGGTTTATATCGACTCTTAAGCTTCCTCAACCTTTATCCTGATTTTTTAAAATTCAGAGGTTCTGAAACCTGACTTGTCCTCTGCCGCACTCAAGGAATATGATGCAGGTCTCCTTGGTCATTCTGAACGGAAGTGAAGGAGGTTTGGGGTTCACCTCCCTAGTGGTCGTATCAGAATAATGATGCTGGGTTGAAAACTAATTTTTGAAATTCATTTGGAGTTATTTAGTTATGGGAGACTGAAACTTTTATTAGAAAATATTCTGATAAAATTTAGAGAAATTGTGATTTGGTTCTGTCATTGACCTAGTATTAATTAGCATCTGACATAACCTTTTCTGGTTTTCTGGTTGGTTTCAAGGTGTAGGTTAAAAGGCCATAGACAGTGAATTCAGTTCGGCTTAAGTCCTGATTGTAGTTCATTCTCTCACTAGTGTTGCAGCCCTGGGAAAGCCACTTCTATCTCTGAAGATTAAATCAGACCTCAGTGCTTTTTCTTTCTTTTTGGAATGTTAAGAACAATCTGAAAAAAAAAAAGTTTTCCCTACTTCACTTCATACAGTTATGATCGCTCCTTCACTCTGCCATTTATTTATTGCAGAGTGAGACTGGAGTTAGTTCTCTTCACTTATTCGTCATCTCTTCTACTCTGATGCCTGCTAGGTTGGAAAAGGAGACTGCTGGTTGATCTCTTGTTTTGTTTTCCTTCTATAAGGTCTTTATTTTATTCTTCCTTTAGTGGGTTTCATTAGAATTCTTTGTTTCCCACATTTATCTGATAAGGTCTTTTCCTGTGTTCTGAAATACTGTAAGATAAGTTTT